CCGTGCTGTCTATTATGTGTTGTTTAGTTTTGTATGTATTGTCTATCATTTGTTGTTTTCGAAGTTATTTGTCTTTTGCTGGGCAATGTATGACAAATATATGTTGAAAAACCTCGCCCGTAATTATAAATTATGTAATTCATTGACCGCTCCCAACATGTGTAACTTCAAGGCATATTTTAGCGCCCGAACGATGTCTTTCAAAAATACTGCACTTTTCATGTATAACTGGTGCTTTCGACTGAAGAATCGTCGTACACAAGCATCGCACAAGTTGGCACTCCGAGGCAGGTGGGGAGAAAGAAGGTGAACTGTGGTTTATTTTTATAAATAGTACCGCTTAAGTCGACGCTAGGGGCCGCCTTGACCTTGTTGTAGGGTATGAATGATTCGTTCATTGTTGAAGACCCTACATAAACTGTCAAGATGAAGAACATGAATACAAGCCCTGTTCATTGATAATGTTCTATGTTTTCCATGTATTGAGTGCGATTTTGTCCCATGTACGTTTACCCTATATCCTTTCATTTTCTAATCACAAGTTAAATACAATAACACAAACAAAACAATAACATGTTAACATAAATTCATATTAAAATGTGTTCTGGATATACCCCCAATACCTCAATTTGAAGGTTGTTACATATATCTTATTACAAACAATATCACCAGGTTGTGAACTCACCTCTACTTCCCATGACAATTTCGAATACAATTGTTCTTCAATCAACAATGAATGGAACGTTGGTTTGTCGAGAACGATTTTTTACGAATCTGTACAATATCTGTCATTTAACTATTAAAAAAGGTCTCTCAGCTTCAAGTAAAGAATATATTTCTGTATATCATTAAAGTTTAATTAAATATTCAATAAAAATAAAAATTAAATGTTCAATTCTCAACAAATCCTACCCAGAACTAGTGATTAATGTTTATTTCGTAAAGATATTCGCCAAAACTTATCATCAGAAGCCATTTAAGCAATGCTTTAAAAGAACAACTGTTGAAAAATTATGAACTGAACATTGTTATTGTGATGCATAGTGAACTTTAAAAGGTTTTCTGCAACAAAGAGCTATTCGTGCTATTGTAATGAACACTTAACATTTAAGATTGATTTCAAAGGACATGTAAATAGGACATTTTACTTAAATATAGATGTTTTATCTATAACCTATTATATTGTATGCAGGCCATTTTTAAAACTGCAAGAGATGATGTAAAACTACTTTTCTGCTTTATGATATATATTTTTTTTTCAACCCTCCGCGAGATTTTTTTGCACAATATTTTCATTACAGTAAAGTTACGTTTACGTATTTTTAAAAAACCGTTATCTGAAATGATCGGATATATTTACATAGATGGTATGTCTGTCATTTATGACTAGAAATTGTCATATTAGAGTATAACCTTTTTTATAAATTAAGTTAAAAAGTAGCCTTTGCGAATTATAAGATTTGTGTTTATTGATTATTTTATGAAATATTAAATCATTCAAAGTACTATAGTTTTGTTCTATCCCAGGCTTAATATTAGTTAGCCAGATTATATATACGCAATATCGAATGAATAATCCATTGCAAAGACCTTTAGGATAATTATAGTCGTATTTGTATAGTCTTGTCTTAAGGGCATTCGATACAGTGTTGATCCAACGGTGAAGTTTTAACGAACATTTGCATACAAGCTATTTTCAACCTAGTCAATTTAAATGTGTTATACAAAGTATACCTTCATATGATACTTTTAGAGATATATCATGTCAAAAGTTTAGACATTTGCTCCAAATTTTGATTTCTTAGAATTTTTATCCTTTGAACGGACATACCTTAATGTTTTTGTTTTAAAAGATAATCACAGGCGGATTTTTGTTAAAACATTTGGCATATCGTCTTAACATAGTATACCATAAGTTTATGTAACAATTCCTTTATTATTTTTTTCGGATTAAAAAAAAAAAAAACTTCGTTTTTCGCTAGTCAAATTTGTATTCTTGAACGAAGATAAATCGATAGAGTAATTATATCCTGTAATAAGTTACTTGTATACTTATTCAATTTAGAAAAAAAATTCCATCTAATGTCTTGATTAAAATCAGTCGAAAAATGCATTTTTTCCCAATATTTCACTGTTTGACGTCGCGCAAAATATCTTGTAGCGTAAGCAACGTCATCATCCCCCCCCTATACCTGTATCGCATGCCATTATATCAGGCCGTTTGGTTTTTACATTATAATTTAACAGTTTTTAATTTACTATGCTTACGCTATTGATTAATCTTTATTCACGTATAAATTTTCATTCGAGCTAGCTAATTTAATTAAACGAAAATAACATTAAATACATGACGGTTATCACTAGCAGGATGTCATAAATCTTCTGGAACACCTGAAAATTTCCCAGTTTCAGCAGTGCTCGTTTTGCTCATTCTCTAGTTTTGTGGACTGGCTTGTCGTTTCGTCGATTTCCAAATGTTTTCCATTGTCAGTGTCAGTTTTTTGCGACAAATGAGTTTGAATGCCCTTGGTATCTTTTTTTTTTCAAAATTCACAATATGTAAAAATGTTCCAATGTTATAGAACTGCATTAGGCGTGAAAAACGTTCAAAAATAGGACAGTTTTTTTGGTTTTTTTTTTTGGAGGGGAGGGGGAGGGGATAGTAGGGAGGGCACCTTGCTTTCTGTTAATACAAAATAAATGCAAAAAACATTAACGGTAAATATTTTGATGCATCATATGCAGATATATCATATGTGTTTTAATTAATGTTCAGTGATGCACAAGGCCAAAATAATGGAAACTAACAAAACTAATGCATCACCAAAACTAGACGAATAACAAAACGAATACAAATGGTTTTTTGACTGTAATTACTAAAGTTTTTTAACTATTGTTCTGATTTATTCTTTCTGTTCTCCATTTGAAAGTTAGTTAGAGTGTGTTCTAATATCTTTTAAGGTTCTTTCATTAAGAAAGGAAGATCTCACTGGATTCTTTTGATTATTTTTCTTCCTCAGAACTGTTGCTTTTACTTTATCATTACATTATCATTACATTTCCGTATACTTGGTGTAAGCTGTCCTCGATTAATATATCCAAATTGTTCTCTGCGAAAAAATGTCTACACAAATGAACGATTTAATGATGGAATACCAATGACGTTTACACATATAGATACCATGACGTTACAAAAAGACAGCACTAACGCATATAAGTACATGTATAATTCCTGCGGTACTACGATTTCCCCTCACATGTACAGACAGTTTCAATCAAAATCTATTCGGTGTAATTAAACAGAAATTTGGGACCAAATTTCCCTCGCCTAGCGGCTTGGGTAATTTCACACTCCCTTGACTGGTATTTTTCGCAAATACCCCTCCATAACATGATATATCTGTTCAAAGAACCTTGGGGTATTTTCTTTAATAATTTGGATGTAGTTTTTTCTTTTGAAGATCAAGTAAAGTTTTCTGTACACATTTTTAGTGTGGAAAATATTGCTGATACTGAAAGCATTAAAATCTTCATTTGCGAATTATGCCTTAAAAAGAAACAAACTACGTATTCATCGTCTTTGGAAGAAGTTATTACGTAATATAATAATAAATATATGGGGTAAGCAAAGTCAATATTAATTGCAACAAATATGTACTAAGCAGGTTTTGAACCAATACCAAAAGCGTTTCTTAACCTCTTGGAATAGAAAGTTGAGCTTTGATAATGATATGAAAACAATTTAAATCAGGTATTTAGAATTTTGTTTGGCTTTGAACAGAGATATCAAAACATCCATAAATAAAGTGTGAACTTCAAATGAAGTATACTTTGGATGGCCGAGACTCGTATAGCATCGAACAGAGCAAATTTGTTGATACATTTTTATCACTACAGCTGGGACTATACAAACGTCTTACACCATCAATTATGAAGATGCCTCCATAAGGAATAGCTGTTCACGAATATAGTTGTTTTACTCGTTGTAAGTGATATAGTGTTCTGAAGTGATATCATTGGTTGAATAATAGATTGTACAGGTAATCCTGTCTGTCATTGTAAAAACGGAATGACCAGGCTATATATAGTGTTGAAATGAAAGTTGAATTGTATTCAAGATCATTGACAATAAACCGGTGATTTTACATTATGTCTTTGTCATTTTTCACTGTCATCGCTCAATCCACAAAGTGTACACAATATTAAGTGCACTACAATTCGATTATAATGACTGCGTGTTTACTACCATGTGGTATTCTTTCAAACATGAAGGCAGGAAGCGTGATGCGTATGTGTATTTTACACAAATCGTAAGAAATTATACTGAACCCGCGCGCTTTCTAATTTTGAAGGGAAATTATTCAATGGTATATATAAATCGCTTTACATTTGTAAGTATGACTGAAACTGCAATGTACACGCGTTTAACTGCAATTTTCGTATTGTTATATAGTAATGGATAGGTCTATAGTACGGCTTGAAAATGATAAAAACAACACTTTATAACTTTATGCGTCAAAAGCGCTTTCCAGGATTTACCTGCATATGGAAAAGCCAATTTTTTGCTATTTTATATTACTACTTTAACTCAAATATAAAAACGCACTCATAAGTCAACATAATAAAATAAATCAGCCACAATAAATCATAGAGAAATACAATAAAAGAAGAAAACTTAATGACAAAAATAAAAAGAGTAGTGTAAAACCATGGCAAAAATCAGATAACTTTATAATCTTTTTTAGAAACGTTCTAGAATATTTTAATACAATTTGAAACAATGAGTAAACTACATTTTTTTTGTAAGTTGTTAAAGACTGAAGGATTTGAAAGCAATCGTTGACTTGAGAATCACGAACATTTAGATTTATCCAAAGCATAACAAAAATGATCACTTCAACGGACTTGCCAAAATTGGACAGATTGATCTACATTAGGTATAATTACATTTTAAAAGGTATTTACTATGACTAAAAATAAAATGAAAATTTCACGTGACCTCTGCATTCTTATATAACACAGCGAAGGAAAACTATCGACGCACTGAAGACAGACTATATGGAAAAGGCAGTAGAATATATCAAGAGGAAAATACAGAATTGTAAGTCAAATATTTCTGTAAAGTAAATGTATTTGCCGTAATATGTATTGACAAGTATAGAAAAATATTAAACGCATATCAAAGAAAGAAAGGTAAAAGACATAGTTCTGCTCTAAATGAAATAACATCTTTCTATACATAAAAACCTTTGATAACATTCGTGAATCACGATTCATGAATGGGTAACTGAATTGATGAATATTTGTTAATGAACGTATTTACATATTAAAATGAATTGTTAAATTTTGACTGCACTTATTTGAACTTAGCTACATGAATGTATACATCGCTAAACAAATCCCGAACTCCCTGAAGTTAACGCGTCAATATTTTGCATTGATGTCATTAAAAAAATATGAATCTATCAAAACAAATATTTGATAAAGATTTTATTGTTTTTTATCATAACTGTTCAGCAAGTTATTGTTTGCTAATTGTTTGAAAATACCAAATAGTTAATCCAACTTCTGGTTTTACAAGGAACAACAACGAATCATAATTATCATGATTCGATATTTTCGAAGAGAAGACACTTCTATCTATGTCGAACATTTGAATTGATGCTTAATGAAATAAAAATTGCGAAGGTTATACACATGAATATTATATATTATTATTTTTGCCTAATTACACGTTTGTCTTCATGAGTGATTTTTTAAGTACATTCTTTAACATTGAACCTATGACTATTGATGTCGATGTTACTACCCTCTTCAAATCAATGTTGTTAGTATCGTTGTATTCAGTCTGTTTAACAGCATATTGGCCAATATTGACATTATCAACAAGTAAAGTGCTAGAGCATCAAACACAGTCCAACGAAACAGACATGTTTTAAGAGTACAAAAATTGATAAAAAGTTTTCGTCGACAACAAGAAATGAACTAATTTAAAAATAAATAATATACAGTTTAGGTTTTCCATTTAAACATAATTACAACGATGACTGTAATAATTTAAATTCAGTGGATACATACAAATACGAATAGCAACAAATCAATACAAATGATTGACTCATTTTCAAAATCATAACATACAATGCGGGAAAATAAATACTGTGAAGTTGAAAATTTAGTTTGAACCTTTATTTCTGTTTTTTTCGTGGACAGATGTAATCAAAAAAATTAAACCCAAACGGAGATTTAATCAATATTGAAAAATACCTTCGTTCATATACGTCAAAGTAAATGCACGCACATGAAACATGTTGTCTTGCAGTTTGAGTTCAATAGAGGCTATTCTTACATGCTGTAAAACCGTATTCTTTCAAAAAAATGAATTGAGTGATATTAATCGTTCCACTTGAAAACCTATTTAGATATTTGATTTTGGAAAATCTCATTGATATTTTTGTATTTTTAGTCCCCATTATAAAGTATCGGAGGAGTTTGCATGTAGAAAAGGTTACCATATCTGGCTTTAGTTAAAATAGAAATATCTCGGAAATGTGAAGTGAACTATACATCGATGCCTTTTGAAAAAATAAATTACTGTTTTTTTTTTTTAAATGATATACCAAAACATTTTGTTTTATCCTTAAAACATTGGTATTGATAGCTACTATTTGTACTAACCATAATTATTTCCGTATGGACAAAAATCAATATTTGACTAACCTGAGGTTATTGAACATACTGGATTTTTAAAGTCGTCCGAATTTCAAAACCCATAACAGATTTTTTAAAGTTTTTTTTCTTTGTGAAACAACTCTTTCAATTTATACATGCACCTACACCAGTTTTCTAAGACTGAGCATTACAAATGAGCCTGGCCATAAGAATGTTGCAGACAGGAATACGTAAACGTGCTGTTGCTAGACACTTTCACTTTAAAAACCCGTCATACTGTCCTTACAACAACAGTACAGACAGACGAGATTTGTTGGTTACCACCCATGCCCGGATAATTGTGTAGTGACAACGCCAAGTAAAAAGATTTTGATAACGCAAAGTCATTTGCGAGACATCTTTACGGCCACAACGTCAAGTGCTACTGTAGTCGTCAGATCCACGCCATAATTGTTTCCCATATACTTAAATGCCAAATAATCGACTGCAGCAAAAAAATATTCAACGCCCTAAAGTTAAAACCTCATAATTCTAAAAACATTCAATAGAGAGTTGGACAGAGGCTAAATCAGAAGGTACATAACATGCCAACCGAATTGGTTGACCTTTCAATCTTCATTTAGGCGTTGGTTAAAGGCAGTCATTGTCTACAACGGTGACACATACATTGATAAGGTGAAAACCAGGGATTTAGGGCATACCTCATTATTTTAAAATCAAACATGTCGTTAACAATTCAACTTTCGAACTCCAAACTTTTTAATACAATGAAGTAATGAACGAAATGATAATTGTACCATCATTTTATAAAAATTGCATACTAATTATGTAAAAATGACGATTAAAAAATTAATGTTGTGTTTTGTTTTTAAAGTCCGTCAGTATATTACTATCAATTTGAAAGGCGCTACTGGAACAAAATGAAAACAGACACAACCCTTAAATACTTCAAATTGTACGCAATGTTCCCTAAGCTTAACAGTTCTTTATTCGTTAGAAAAGGAGTATTGGAAAAATACGGCATTCAGGTCAGAACGGAGTTTTTCAGGGACAGAGTAAACCGGCTTTAACGTAAACAAAACAAGTGCAGATATTTGCATTGGTCAATGATGGGAGAACACCATTCAAACAGTTTGGGCACATGGAAGCTGATTCAGTTTCAATCATGTCAGTTATGTATCAAGGTTTTTAAAAATATCATGACAGATTTTTAAATTGCAGATATGAAATTCAGAACTATGAGAAATAAAGAATGCTCAAACAGAAGGAATCTTCCTCATTTCATTCTGTTAAAAGGATAACTTTTTGCTTTCAATTCTAATAACTGCAAAAATAATGAATTTGAAGCGGCTATTCGCTGAATCATCTTTTTTGGAATTACCCCCATTTTATAAATGTAAAATGTCGATAGCAACTATTTATTTACAAATAACAGTTTATTAAGTTTTTTCTTGTCGATAGCTCTCACGTTGTCATTAATGTAATAATTATGATTCATGGTTGCCATTAAAAGGCATGCTAGAAAAAACATTTATTCGTTATAATGCAATGAATGAATACACACTTCACTTTTACATTTATTACAATGACAACTTAAAGAAATTCCCATAGGAAAATTTTTCACCTAAAAATAGATGTTTTATCGATAATTTTAGAGTTTACACGCAAGCTATTTTCGTTATAGGTGCAATAGATGCCCTTTAATACTTTTTAAAGCTTTGTATAATCAGGTAACCATTGAATGGATATAAAAGTGAATAGTTTAATAACAAAGTGTCAACGTTTCGTTAATATATTTGATTACTAACCAAATGTGACCTTCATATTTAATCTCCTTTATCTTGACTGTATGACTCTTCATTAGTCAATAAAGATTATGCTAGATAAATCTAACTGGTTTTTAATTGAGAAAAGTCCTACATTTAACATGGCAAATCGAATCATCATTAGAAAATTTCCTTTAAATATATATTTCAGATTAAGTAGATAAATTGTATGACATAATTTCTTACATGAAAAAGCGCTTTTTCGTTTAAGCAAGCTTAGGGTGATTGTCCAACATTTACGTTACCTTGTCTAAATATTATATTTAGACAGGGGATTATCAACATTGAAAATAAAGTGCATTTAGCTTTTTCGTCGTATCCTATTTTGATTAATTCTATGGTTTGTTCAACAAATCTTAAATAACGTAGTCTTTGTTTTTCTATCCTTATACAACACATCACAGCGTGTTTGTTTTCAAGTTGGAATTATGCAGAATTAGATAATGAAACTTAAATTTGGATTGGTATTCATGATTGATTTATAAAGAATTAAATCAAATAACATAAATGTTATCAACTTAAATGTACAAGAGGCGCATTTCAACAGCTCTGTCTCTTCATTGATGCTCGAGTCCATAATATCAAAAAATCCAAAACCATAAGCGAACGTTCAAAAACTCACAAATGACTAAAATGTATACAAAGTCCAGATAAAGATTCAGAGCTCAGCTTGAGATAAATATACTCTTTAATATTGTATAATCTACAAACTTTATAACAGCAAATTTCATTTCAACAATATCGGTATTTTCGTTCAAGTACAAGCTATACTGAAATAGTGATACCCTAGGAAGTAAGCATAAAATCCTTTTATGTGACCGTAGCGGTCATGCTTCAGAATAATAAAATACCATTATAGTCGCTTCCATATTAAACACAGTGAGTTCAGAGACTTAAACAAATTGTCACTCATATTTACATGACGACCGTTGACATCATAGCATCATAAATAGCTAGATACATTTCCTGTCAGAATGGCGTTCATTTATCAATTTTTATATCTAAGGTTGCGCTTTTTGGATTATCAAAAATCTATGAATACTATTAGTATTCCCTTCTGATTTGATTAAATTTCAATCAACTGGAAACAACTAATGTATGACGTAATCGATTAAATTATTGGTACTGTATACACTGGGACATAGTCTGATTATTTATCAGTATCCCCTATCTCTTGCATTGGATGTCAGGCATTTATTGGGGGTCATAAACCATGAACTGCTAGGGAAGTTAATATTGCTACCTGCTGGGTCAATTAACAGGTGGTCAACCAGGTGTGTAATTTTATTGCCACAGGTTGACAATTTTGTTTCATATTTTGTGCATGCAGAGGTTTGTGATTTTCTCTGTTTTATAGTTGAACTGAAAAATCAATAAACACAGGGAAAAAGATATATTTTGTATAATTCAAAATGATATTTATTAGTTGTACATTTTCAAAAATTATATAGATCATATTTAAATGCTAATTTCATTTTCATTACTTTCAAAATGATCAAAAGTATTATCAATTAATTGATGTTATTTATATATGCAGTATGAAAGGAATAAGGTTTAAGGAAGGTTAGCTAAATGCTATAAAATAAGATATCACATAAAACAAAAACCAATGATGGTGTCTGTTGCAATTGGAACGGGGATCCAATTATTTCCCCCATTACTTCAATGCAATTTTATCATAATTGAGGGGCAGATTTTTTTATTCCCTATATTAGACTGCAAATTTTCAATTACTTTGTCATACTAGTAGCCCCCTCAATGCTTTCTTGGAGAATTCCTGAAGGTTCATGACCGGCATTTAAGAGAGCAATACTATTTTGAGTATAAATAGGGTAATTTTTTTAACTTCCTGGTTACAATCGAAAATAAATGTTGGACCATTTACTCACACAATCATCCACCCTATACATTTCAGATTCACTTAAAATTTAACAGAAGTTGAAACTTTAATGCATACCCTTTAGATAAACTACAAATTTAAGTATCTTTCCATAATTTTCATCTCGGTACAATATCCCATTTAAAAGATTGTAGATTTATTAAAGGACTTCATTCGTGGGTACCGAACTGGTATCCCGTAACTGGGATCCCATTCCTATCAGACTTGATGATCATCTCAAAAAGAAGAAAAATCATGTTATTTGCTGAAAGAAAGCATTTATTTTCATTAAAATAAATTTGTTTTATGTCTTAGTCTTTGCTTTTGCATTTTATAGCCAGAAACAATAGGCCATCCCTTCACACCAAAAAGAGCATATTTTCAGCCAAAATTTAATGTTGACCAGAGAAGTCTCAAAATTATTTTTTCTTAAACCATTCAATTTGTCAGCTTTATAATGACTTTTTTCATGAAGGAAATGCTATATAAAAGCATTTTCTCTTTATTACAAGCACCAAAAACCTAATTTTAGCTTCATAGATATGCAAATATATGCAAAATGAGATAGTTTTTGAGATATGTATACAATGGCTTAAATCTCTATTTCTCTTCAAATTCAACCAGGGAAACAAATAATAAGTCATACATATTTGAAGAGTACTACATGTAGTAAAAAGTAAAATCACAAAAATACTGAACTCCGAGGAAAATTCAAAAGGAAATTCCCTAATCAAATGGCAAAATCAAAAGCCCAAACACATCAAACGAATGGATAACAACTGTCATATTCCTGACTTGATACAGGCATTCTCTTATATAGAAAATGGTGGATTGAACCTGATTTTATAGCTAGCTAAACCTCTCAGGTATATGACAGTCGCATCAAATTCTATGATATATTGACAACGATGCGTGAACAAAACAAACAGACACAATAGGTTAAAATGTCAAAAATAGGGGTACAACAGTCATCATGTTTGTTATCATCTTAATCGCTATAAAAACAAACAATGTAACATGCATACATGATCAGTGGCAGAATTCAATATTTACATGAAAACTTAATGAAAGAGTGTATTGGATTATGTTACAATATGATAGAAATCGGTTGCGTTGCTGTAGAAACAATAAATATGCTTTAATTTACCATTTTGTTTGCCAACATTGAATATTGTATGAATGAAAGAGTCACATCAGCAAGTCTTGCAACAACAAAAAAATATTTTCATAATTAGAAAATGGAGCATTCTCTCAATATATTGACTATTTTTACCAAAATTATCAAAATTTAGCTGAATTTTCATTGACCGTCTCATATGAAATTGCACATTACAGGCAAACTATGACTTTTAAGTATAAAACTAGGACTGTTTGACCCTAACTATATATCAGGCTTACCACAAAATTGTATAATTTGTGGTCCAAAGTTGCCTTTTTGCATCATTTTGTTTGTTCGGTATCAAATTACGCACACTTTATACGATTAACATGTTAATAAATAAGGGTCAACTGTACTTTAAATGAAAAATTTAACAGAAGTTGAAAGTTTAATGAATATCCTTTATATATACTACACATGTAAGCATCTTTACATAATTTCATCTCGGTACAATATTCTATTTAGATGATGGTAGATTTATTAAGGGAATTCATTCGTGAGTACCGAACTGGTATCCTGTAACTGGGATCCTATTCCAATTCCTTCTATCCCTTTTAACCACATGACAAATGACAACATTGGAAGTCAAGTTTAGATACATGTTTCAATATTTTATTTACGTTTTTTTCTTCACTAATTCAAGATAATACTTTTTAACACTGAAAGTCATAAGACAAAAAACTGACAGCTCTGTTTTGAGACAACATTTCTTTGATAAGCAAACAATGTACATGTATGTTCAATATTAATTTTTGTATTTTTCTTGAATGATAATACATTATATAACTTGGTAAACAAAATTTATAGTACAATCCTTAATCAAAACTATAAATTAAATAAGATAATGAGTTCTTTATATCATCAAATAAAAACAAAACAGTATACCTTTTTAACAGTAGAAACAGTATATAATAAATTGGTAAAAAATTATTTATTTTTATCACATGTGTATGTATGTCATAGCAATTTTTCCTTCTTTTTATATACATTTTGTATATATAAATGTAGTATTGTTTTTTTTAATCCAACTACTTTGGAACTATTATTCATACTGCGAAAGTTTGATTTATAGAAATTTCAGATACCATGTATATTAAAAAAATGAATGAAATTTAAATTATAACATATCATACTAGGAATATTGAAATCAACAAACGCTTCCTAAACAAAGTTGTTTAAAATTCATTTATCTTGATTTTATCTGTAATGTTTTGTTTTTTTATCTCTGTTGTACTTAATTATCCTTAATTATTTTATTACCTGACAATTTTATTAAACCTTTTTGTCACCTCTTCTCCTAATCACAACAGGTGATCAGAGCATGTACCTAAATGCCCAACATGTCAGACATACAAACAAATGCTCAGCATAATTCAGATTATTCCTAGTTTGTACTGTACATGTATCTTGAATGACACTTTCCTACAACTGTTTCAATACAAAATCTAATAAATATGTGTATGGATATAATGAAAACTTGCATTACTTAAATGCAAATGAAAATCGATGTATCTGTAACCTTATTTCGGATTGAAAACAAATCTCTATGAGAAGCTTGTAACTTTCAATTGAAAAGGAGGCGATATAAAAAAAAACCTACAAAAATGACCAAAATTTACAGATTGACTTAATTGTTTAACACTAGAATAGTGTAAAGAAATAGTTAACTTTAGTTAGATGAAACATTTGAATTTATTTAAGATACAACTTTTTATCGTCTTATACGGTTGCATAGACAGCTACCGGTTGATTAACTTTTATCATTCTATTTTAAGACGTAGAATATTAAGTACAATCAAATTTTAGTTTTTAAATGACACAATTATCATAATTTCAAAATTAGATAGTTGAAAAGAACTGTTTTCCCACCTGATATAATCACTTTTGGTTCTGGCTAAATAACCTCTAGATGTCAGTTTTAAATTTTATTTATATTAGTTTATAGCTATAGCACTACATTTGAATGACTTCGACATATTGCTGCTAGAACATATGAGAAGAAGGAACAAAGAAGATAATTAAAGAAGTGTAAGTTGAAACCCTTTAATTATTAAGTGACTGTCTTTTTAGTTAATATTTCCGCAGTAGATATATGCATAGCTGAAATATAATACTGTTCTTCCATCAAGTCTAATCGAATGTGATCATTTTTGATACTGCAAGGCCAATAAATGCGCATATATCGTTAGGTAATCACGACTTAACGGATATATTATGAAAATGCCAGAGAATCTTGATTTATAGACAAATATCATTTACAAAATTCCCAGCTTTAACTTGGGTTTGAAAAAAAACATTATTTATCATAGATCGGTCATTGATATTCAAATATCATTCAAATAACAAATCCAAAAGACAACTAATGGTGCGGATCTATGGCATTGGTAATTTATGTTTTTCTTATCTTTCACTGCTTTGTTAAATTTCAAAAGCTACTTGAATATTAAACGTAATCGGGTTATAAATAAGATAAAGGCAACAGTAGTATACCGCTGTTCAATAGTTATAATTCGATTAATCACAAACAAAAGCTTGGTCTAGTTTACCATAAATTTTGGAATTAATATTTAAATTGGAAGCTAATTTCACAAGTTCTAACAGTAAACTGATTACTATTATTAATATGTATTTAGTTACAGTTATTTGTGCTGAATTTGTTGCATGAATTGCTGGTGGTTTTTAGGAAATTTGACATATATGACATCGGCTTAATACAATGTAATATATGCATGAACTCTTAAGAGTATCAGCTTTTTTATTCAGTGAAATTGTGATTCAAAACACTTAAACGAAAAGAAAACTGTTTAGAAACAAAGCTTTTTACAAAACACCTGAACATGGCAAAGAAGCTATAAGTTTATCGGCTTGTATTTATTGACCGATACGATATGTCTGTTTCTAACCGCACTATTTTGGCACAGTTGTAGATCTGTACATGTAAGGAAAGACGTCTAATCTTGTAGTTTAACGATTCTGTCATAATTCCGATTGGGACATTTTGACTAAGTGTGGATTCACACAGCAGGCAAAACGGTCTCTCTCCCCTAATTTTTTTTTTTACAATACCCATGATTTGTCTTCTTGATCCTTTTCAGAGATTTGAACATTGGTAAAACAATGTCATCTTAATTAAGAAACCATAAGAAATAACAACTTTGTAGAATATAGGTCTTACGGATTGGTGCTTTATAAATTTTAATCGAGTATATTAAAGTAACTTTATTCTGCATTCACCAAAACACGATGAATACAGAGATTGTTTTAACTGGTCGTATAAATCCTTTGTATATATATATTACAGTCTAAAATGAAAATAAATGTATTCATTCGGGTATCCCCAAGTTTATTTGAACATATGTTGAATGCAAAGACCACTGAATACTAACAAAATTTACTTGTTTTTTAAGAACAATCATGTTATGAAAACAGGAAGAGATCTGAAACAAAATTGATATGATTTTCAAGTCATTTGACATAAAAACAAACACTTAAAGTGAGCTTATAAAAGTTAACACATTTGAAAATAACTTTTTAGAAAATCCTCTCAGCAATATATTTTTATATAACAAGATCCACATATAAACTAGAGGCTCAATTGTTTAAACAAAACCCTCGATAAAAGTTCATAATTTAGAAAAGACTTATCTTTTAATATAAAAACGTATAATGTATAATGTACAAATATACAAAATTTTGTATGTGTGAGGAGGGAGGGGCGTTTCAATTGTTAACATGTTTTGTACGATACTCTTTGATTTATTCGTTCTTGTTTTGGTAACAATTGTTTACTTAAGCAAAATTAATTTTAAAATTTGACAAATACAAGTCATGTTTCACGTATATTTTTAGATACTGGAAAATCTCAATCATTGCAGTATAAACGTGACTGATCATGACCTACTGATTTTATTTAAAAATCGACAAAAAATGATGAATCATTTTACATGTGACTCTCTTGAATTAATTTAAAGTTCTTACTTTTAATGCTTGAATGGGAATTTGTTCATGTGCTATATATTCTGACGTGGATTTCGAGGGTTGTCTTTTTACCGGACTGTTCGATCTATTTATAGTTATATTGTAACATAACTTCCCAAATCATAGGTATTAATCCCACAACAGTTTGAAACTCGACTATTATTCAAAATAAATTTTGAAATGGAAACTTTCAGAATTTAGTTTAATTCTTGGTGTCAAATGAAGAAGTTTTTTTTTTATTTGTTATTTTTCTTGTAACATTGTATTTTAAATAGAAAGATTTCAAAGCCCTTATGTCTTGCATTTGTTCACCAACATGAAAATTGTGTCAAGGTCAAAGGTCAAGCTCGTTTTCTTAATTTTGCACTCTGCTTGTGTGTGCATCTTATCTAATACTATAAAAACTATATATAAAAGAACTGATGCAAAATGTTTGGGGTGTTGAGACAAACAAATAATACATTTAGTCCAAAGCGATCTGATTATACCTTATAGGAGTTACTGCCCCTTAAATGTTGAAATTTAAGGTAAATCAAAAAGAACTTCATTCTGGTACATGATGAAGCCATACTGTTTTTTTCAAAGGGTTAGGTGACACATGACCTTGAAAAATATTAACCGGAAGTGATCTTGTGCAAACTTGAAGTAGTTTTTTTTTCCACTGATTGAAGGAAAAAATACGTATAAACTATATATTTTTTAAATCAGCATACAATAGCCTTGTAAATGACACCGGAAGTCGCCTTCTTTAAATTGGAAATAGCTTATTATCTCATTTACTTGAAGGAAAAGTATATAGAATAGGGACTTTGTGGGAACTTCACGTCAATAAACTCATATCTACCGTAATGCATAATTGGTGTTATCGACGTTTGTAAAGATAACAAAAAAAAACTTTTTCATTCGATGTCAGTTAAAAATAAAATATCACAGGAAACTTGATTTTTAGTTCTTCAAACTAGTCTAAAAGTTATAGACTTAACGTTTTTGTATCTGTATTTTATAACAATGTGAAAATCGGTAATATTATCCACAACGTTTATTTTTCGCTATCATATGCAACAATTTAATATCCTATCGGGACCTAACGCTATTTATAGAATCGTAAACAGACATCAACGTTTTGCATGCATCATCCTCAAGTTGAGAACAGTAAAAATTTTGTAGGTATCTTAGTCAAATTTCGTCAATAAGGTGTCTAATTTTGAAGAAAATCAACACAATTTAGAGTTTCCCCCCGAAAAGATACCCCATGTTTACATATTTTTCAAGGATCCATCGCTCCTCGCAATCTACGTCATAGTATCTTTATAACAATGTCCAGTTTATGTAAATGTGTTACGAATTGACGAGGCGCCAGTGAGTCAAGGACGGCAAGGTCCAGCCTTAAAAGAACAAAAAAAAAGCGCCGTAACGTTAGATTTATTCACTGTTCACATCATCATACAGTCAGTTTAACTTTCAATTTCTGCTAAAAAAAATTCACTGACGAACGTAATGGTTGCGTTATTCACGATCCATTGTTGTCAAATAGTTTGAGGTACTGTGCAGGTTATTCTGTTCACATGAATTCACATAACTTAATAAAAATTGTAATGCAATAGTGAGAGTTAAGTATAAATAATTTATTAACTCAACAAATTAATACTTTCCTTTAAAGAAAAAAAATATTTATCATTATAATTGAATTCAAACAAAATATGCAATACAAGCGACGAAAAATTTTTCTATTTCAAAAATCAGAATGGTCCAGGTTTTGTAAAATAAATGTTGAAAAAAAACTATCCCCATCCCTTCCAGTTTTCAAAAAATAAAACACAAATAAAGCATGACGAAAAAGAAAGGTCAAAATGATTGAAAGAAAAATTAAAATGAAAACAAGCAAAAAAGAATTAACCACTTCATGTTTTATCTCAAAATGATGTGGATACAAAAAAATAAAAATAAGGAGATGTGGTATGATTGCCAAAGAGACAACTATCCATCAAAGTTCAAATGAAGTGGATGTAAGCAATTATAGGCAACTGTAGGGCCTTTAACAATGAGAAAAAAAATGGTCGGCTATAAAAGCTTGTTATTAATTGTCCTCAGTTATTACCATTCAGTTTTGGTTAAATTTGAAGGAAACAAGTATAATATTTATAATAAGCATTTGATTCAACATTGAATTTGTGTCACGGAACACATAATACATGTAACACGTCTTCTTTAAAATATAGAAAGTTACATCAATGCTTCCAATCAAAAAACACTAAACCACTCACTAAATTCATTTCGAAATTGCAAAATTGCTGCACTTTTTTTAACCAAGCGTATGTCAACGTGTTACATGTATATGTTTAAAATCTAACAACATTTATCAAGTTGAATTTAGATTTTTTACTACTGTAATCACTAGCCAGTCAACACTGAGGTTGTGAGTTCGAACCCCGCTCGTGCGGGTGCACTCGACTCCAATCTTAATTGACTAGGATGTCAGTTCTATCGAAGGTCGGTGATTTTCTCCGGGCACTCCGGCTTCCTCCACCAATAAAAACTGGCAACCACGAAATAGCCCAAAATCGGTGCTTAAAAGTGGTGTTAAAACACCAAAAATCAAAATCAAATCAAACAATTTATACGCATTTGAAACTGACACCGCCTAAGCAAATATTTTCCAAGTAAGAGTTATCTCCCCTAACACTGTTTGTCTTGTTATTTCTAATACTTCACAACGGTAGAAAAAACCGACAAATTTAATTTTAACCGAAGCGGTATAGAGATTCGATGTGAGAGTTATTTAATCTTCTGTATTTGATATAAGTGAAATGTATTTGTAACTGGCAAACCATAAGTGATAGAGACCTAGGGTCATTGATTTGAGGTCATTTGTCCATGAAGAAGAAAATGAGGTCAAGGTCAAATGTCAAGGTAATTTTCAAAATTTTGACTTTGGCTTGTTATCACTTATTTTCAGAGATAGTATAAGATATCGACAAAATATTTTTACAGAATTGTTATTTGCAAGATGTTGTACCACGTAAATTTTAGTTGAAACGTTACATAGACAC